GAAATTCAGTGGTAATTCTCTTTCACGAAGACAAACTGAAGGCAGAAGTGTGCTAAGAGGACATTTCGAGGCATTGATTGCTGAAAAGATATTCAGTGACACTTCACTGTCACGAAGACACCCTGGAGGCAGGACAGGGCCAATAAGTAATCTATGAGTTATGATTGCCAAAAGGATTTTCAGTGAAAATGTACTTTCACGACGACGTCCTGCAGTTCATGAAGCAATTATTTCCTTGAAGATATTCGGTGACAATTCACTGTAAAGAAGACATCCAAGAACTCTTGAACCAATGATTGTCAAGAAGATATTCAGTGGCACTTCACAACGACACCATTGAGGCTGAAAGGTGCCTTGATTTCTTCTGGAAACATTGAGGTCCAAGAGGATAGTCTGTAACAAATCACAGAAGAGACATAGACGAGTTGCAAGGAGACTTCTGGAGGCATGGTTTGCCAAGAAGCTGTTCAGTGGCAATTGACTGTCACAAAGAAACACAGGAAGCAATAGAGTGCCAACAAGACTTCTGGGGGCAGAAAATAACCAAGAAGACCCCTTTAAGAATATGTCTGCCATAAGGCATCCTTTAGGCAAAAGGTATCACCAGGAGACTCTCCAGGACCAGGTTTCCCAACTCCCATGGTCACTGGTACCCAAATAAGACCTCTGGAGACCTCGATCTAAGGGTCCGGTATGCTTCTGAGGCACGTTAGGTTCAGAGACTTAACACTCCACTAACCTGCACTAACCCGCACTAACAACCTGCACGTAGGCGCATTGTTTTATAGAAAGACACTTCCAAATTATTTAGATTTAGGTTCAAAATCGGGGATTGTTTGGTTGTCAGAGGCAGTGTCAGCCTCTTTGTATCCGCCTGAAGCATGCCCGACCATTGGATAACGACGGTCACACACTGGAGGCAAAAGGGGGTCAAGAAGACTTATGAATGCAGTGATGCTGCTAATAAGATATTCAGTGGAAATTGACTGTCACGAAGGCACAATGGAGGCAGAAGAGATCAAAGTGCACATTTCGAGGCATTGATTGCCAAGAATTATTAAGTGGCACTTCTCTGGCACGAAGACACCCTTGAGGGAAAACAGTGACATGAAGCATCTTGAGGCAATGAATGCCAAGAAGATATTCAGTGACACATCACAGGCACGAAGACACCCTGGAGGCAGACGAATTCCTTGAAGACATCTCGAGGCATTGATTGCCAAGATTAAATTTAGTGGCACTTCACTGTCATAAAGACAGCATGGACGCATAAGGTTTCTTAAAGGACATTTCAATTCATTGGTTGCTAAAAATACATTCAAAGACACTTCACTGTTACGGAGACACCCTTGAGACAGAAGAATTCGATGAGGACATTTCGAGACATTGATTGCTGAAGATACATTCAGTGACACTTCAATGTCACAAAGAAACCTTCAGGCTGAAGAGTTGTAAGAGGATATTTTGAGGAATTGATTGCTAAGAATATATTCAGTGATATTTCACTGTCACGAAGACACCCTGGGTGCAGAAGAGTTCTGAAAGGAAATCTCGAGGCATGGATTGCCAAGAATGTATTGTTTGACATTTCAATTTAACGAAGACACTTATTAAACAGAAGAATTCCATAAGGACATCTCGAGACATTAAATGGAAAAAGTGGATTAAGTGGCACTTCACTGTTCACAAAGACAGCTTCGAGGCATAAGGTTTCTCAAAGGACATTTCAATTCATTGCTTGCTAAAAATACATTTAAAGACACTTCAAGGATACGGAGACACCTTTGAGACAGAAGAATTTCATGAGGATATTTCGAGGCATTGATTGCTAAGAATACGTTCAGTGACACCTCACTGTCAAGAAGACACCATGGATGCAGAAGAGTTCTCTCGAGGCATTGATTGCCAAGATTATATTGAGTGGCACTTCACTGTCAGGAAGACACCCTTGAGACAGAAGAATTTGAAGAGGATATTACGAGGCATTCATTGCTAAGAATATATTCAGTGACATTTCACTGTCACGAAGACACCCTAGAAGCAGAGGAATTTGATCAGGACATTTAGAGGCATTGATTGCCAAGAATATACTGAGTCAAATAAAAAAATTTCACATATTTAAAAGTAATCCCATATATGATATAAACCCGACAAATGTATCAGAGAAGGTAGTTTTTAATCATTAATGTCCAAAGAAGGATTTGAATTAACGGTGGTAACCATGATTTGTTCCAAGCACCTACGGTATTCCGTAATAACATCAACAGTTTAAATCATAAGTCCCAAGCACGAGAATCTGATGGCACACAAGTTCGGTAGCGTGTATGGCCACCATGTGCGTTGACAACTGCCACACAACGCCTCCGCATGGACCTTTTGATACTTGGGAACACATGATTGGAAAGACGACGCCATTGTTGCTGCAAAATGGTGCCAAGATCTTGCTAATTCTGTGGTTGGTTCTGGAGAGTGCGCAGACTTCTGCCAAGAGCATCCCAGACGTGTTCGATGGGATTGAGGTCGGGAGACCTTGACGGCCAGTCCATGACGTTGACTCCCGCATTCGGAAGGAAATTCCTTGTCCAAATTGCTGTGTGGGGTCTGGCTTTGTCGTGTTGGAAGATCAAACCGAGTGCATGTGCTGCAAAACAGGCAGAAGTTCTGGTGCCAGTATCTGGTCACGGTAAGCAGCAGCGTTGAGGTTGCCACTGATGACAAGAAGCCTGGAACGTGCATTGCCACAGAAAGCACCCCACACCATGACACTTCCGCCTCGAAATCTGTCAACTTCCTGTACACAACGCTAGGCGTAACGTTCATGACGGCGCCTCCACACCCTCATTTTACCATCAGCAAATCAAAGATTAAATCGGGATTCATCACTGAAGACGACTTGATTCCTATTCCTCTGAGTCCATTGTAAGTGTCGCTATGCCCACAATTGACGTTGACGTCTGTGTAATTGAGTCAGAATCGGCCCGCAGTATGACCGTCGTGCTTGAAGGTGAACAGTTCTCAGACGGTTTCGAACAGTTTGCGCACTCAGTCTACCCCTAAACAGTTCATTTCTGGTTGATGTAGCCGTCAAAAATCGGTTACGGAGGTGATGTAAGACAATCTGACGATCCTCTGCATGTGACGTCACGTTGCTGAGGATATATTCTATGATACTTCTTCGTCACGAAGACACCCTGGAGCCAGAAGAGATCCATGAGGACATCTTGATGCATTGATTACCAATAATTTTAAAATGGCACTTCCTGTCACGAAGACATCTTGGATGCAGAAGAGTTCTAAGAGGCCATTTCCAGGCATTGATTACTAAAAAAAATTAAATGACACTTCACTGTCATGAAGACACCCAGGTGGCAGAAGATTTCCATGAGGAGAAATCGAGGCATTCATTGCCAAGAATATATTTTGCATAACTTCACTTTCACGATGACACCGTGGAGACAGAAGAATTCCAATCGGCCGTTTTGAGGCGTTGATTACGAAGAATATTTTCAATGACACTTCGCTGTCATGAAGAGGTATGAAAGTTCCAAGAATGTTAATCTCGAAGCATTGATTGCTAAGAAGATATTCAGTGATAATTCACTGTCACGAAATTATTCGAGACCTCTTGAGGAAATGATTGTCAGAAGATATTCAGTGTCACTGTCACGAGGACACCCTGGAGACAGAACAGTGCCTTTCACTTCAGTGTCTATTTCTGCAGATATGTGTTAGGTCACAGTGACCTATTTTCAATGAAAAGCATGAACCATATTTTCGTTGTGACATAGAATTCCACCATGAGACTTCATATTGGGTTTTATATACTGGTTAACCCTTGAAAATATTGCAGTTGATATTGATAATGTCAAGGTCACGTGTTCTCAATAATAAAAATCGTTCAATGTAGTTACAATTAATTGAAATGACGAAGACCTACTATAAGGTCTAAATGACTAGGCAATCAAATGCAATTTCCCATAATAATCCCCAAAATGTTTTCACGTCGAAGGTCAGCATTCATGTTTGTTTGTTTGTTTGTTTGTTTTTGTTAAGTGTATTCTAGATTCTCTGGACATAGCACTGAAAAACATTAAAATGACACAAACCAATTAATTCCTAAGATCGATTGGTTGGCACGTCACTAGTTCAGCAATTATGATTTTACAACCAGTCCTCATCACCAGTTGTGGATGGACGACGTCCTGAGGGTGGCGCTTTGAATTGATGAGGTTTTGAGTGACCTTCTATGAAGATTAAGGTCACTGGATTGGTCTGTCTTAATGTACTTCTGACCGCCTCCGTGGTCTTGTGGTAGAGCGTCCGCCCGGAGAGCGGAAGGTCCAGGGTTCGATCCCGGGCCGCGTCATACAAAAAGACGTTAAAAGATTGTACTTGTTGTTACCCTGTCTGGCGCTCGGCATTAAGGGGCTAAAACAAGGACTGGTCGGCTCGGAGTCAGTATACTGTGTCTGAGTGGGGTATTCATGTTAAACTGCGGCATGGTATCTCAGTGAGCTAGCACTATAAATCGGCATCAGTCTGGACTAGTACAAGCAGCCACACACACACATACACGTGCATGCACGTCGCTATATAAGTGCAATAATCTTGGACGCGACGTTAAACCCAATTTCACCTCACTTAATGTACTTCTGCTCTTTCTGTACTGAGGAAATAATGTGTGTGTATAACATGTTTGTAAGAGCTTACACCTATGTTTTCAACTAAAAATAATCAAACATGTGATTCTCTTAAATTGAGGTCAAGGTCATTACACCAAAAGTGCTTATAACTTTCTGTTTATGGCAGCTTGTGGAATAACACTTTCTCTTTTGAAGTTGTCTTCTTTCCAAACGGGAAATGACGTCATTTAACTGGAAGTGCCAACAACTTTCTTAGTAATGTTGGTGCAGAACTGTTTTTAGGTTGTGATGCATTGAGCTTATGTTATGTTTGGCTTTTACTACAATTAAGTCAGTTTGTCTGTTTTCCCATTACAGAGGTGAAGTTATCAAACCAAGAGTGCTTACATTGACAGCTTGAGGCACAGGACTAATTTCTACTGCATTTGGCAACATGAGGTATCCGTGATGAATCTAAAACATGTATTGATGAGATCATCTGTCACTTGAGTAGATGGACGTTAAAATGGGTCATGATACACGTTTGTTGTGGTAAAGTTTTCGCTATTCAAGAAAAATTATGTAGGGACTAGTTCTGTGTTGCATGTAATTTAATATATTTATTCATATATGTTTTACATGTTTGTCCTTGCATCTGTTGGTAGTTGTAGAATAGCATTACTGTTGTAAATATGTAAGCTTAGTGCCATAAGGTAGAAATGGATCCCATACACCTGGGAATATTGTAACAATTTAAACCTTTAAAATTATGGTCGCGGTTGTTTGATCAACATCCATGGCGAGATGAAGTATGAAATGCATTGCTTTGATGCTGTCAGTGCCATTCAAATTGATTAGCAGAGACAGATAGCATTAATTATGAGAAACAATACGCGCTGATGGCTGAAAATCAATGTTACGACAATACTAATTCTACATGTCACCAATTTGTAAATGCTTACTTGTAACGTTGTCTTTCTTTTTCATTCAGTATGAATCACTTGATCCACCAAGACTTGAACGAGCTGTGGAGGACGAGTAGTTGGTACTTGACAAAAAGCCACTGTGATGGGCATTACTTGCACCGGGTACCACCTGGAAAACTCGCAGTTGTGCCCCGAATGATTGTGCACCGTCCTCTAATCACTCGAACGTGATGCCACACTTACAACTACTGTGGGACTAGGTGGTTTCAATATCATACTTGTGAGGCTGACTTTCATGAACTATAGTGTCACGCCATTTTTCTGTATCAAACCATGTATAATAAAATTATGAAAAATCCACCATTTGGTTTTCATTGTAGCTAATCGGGCATTTGAAGCCATGAGAGTATGAAATGATTTGTTGAAAATCTTGATATGATTCCCTAGTCTATCAGGCCAAATGATTTTCTCTTACTGCAAAATATATTGATTGACTACAGAGCCTAATGTTTCAACACCAACGTGTTGTTTACTACAAAAATTACTGCTGAGCGATATTTTAAAGTACATAATACAAAGTGGTAAATAATAAATGTCTGGCAGAAATTTCTGGAGGTATAAAAAAGATTCTTCCAGAAATTTCTGCAGTACAAAACAAATCAGTCAGAATTTTCTTCAGAAATGCATTTGAGCTCATTTGAGGAACATAAACTTTCCAATGTTCCTGTGTGTTCCTGTAGGCTCGATCCCTTTATGGTCATGTTCGGACTGCTGACCATTCCAAAGTTGTATCACCTCTCCTTCATGTAAGTTATATCCCAGCGTGTTACATGTAGGTTCATGCGGAGGATTGTTTGAAGCGGTACAGAACGTAGGAGAACCCAAATGTCAGTAAAATGATAAAATATAAAACCTAGCAAATTCGAAAATTAGGCTACAAAAAATACAGTGCTCTCGCTGTCAGTTGACAATGCATTTGTTTAAAAACAACTCTCTATGATCACACATATCTTCACACCGCGATTAAGTTGTAACCAGGGTGAAATATTCACGTGAAACGTGTGACGCACCGCCTGAGAAGGGATGTATCAGGGTGTTTCTGTTCAAATAATGTTTTCTCATCAACTGACCTGACATAAATGATCAAACGTGCTCCATTCATTCAATATTTGGCAAGAAATGACATATGTTCTCTTCTATGGAAACTCATTGAAACACAAAGAAAGTAGTTCCTGCAGCTTCGTTTTATTGAAAATGTTTCCACTGACGCGTACAGCAAAACTCAGCGTTCTAAATGAGCGAAACCACAACATGGACAAATCAGAATATTTTAGCGAAGTGACTTATGCTTTTAAGGACAAAAGACACATCAACAGCCACTGTTTTATTCGACTATGTAACGTTACAAAAACATCAGTTGAAAAAAGAGGAAGTGAGAAATATTAGGAAACAAAAAGTGAAACATAAAAGGTAGCCAGTTCCTGGGACTACATATCACCAATTCTGAGTCACTCGGGTGAATGAGAGAGCTCAGCATTATTCAGGACGTAAAATGTTAAAATTGCAGAATAAAGTAGTTTAACTATGTGCTGCTTGTTGGTCAGTTCGGGAAACATGCGTCTACGGGTAATTGATGGGTGGTGACATCAGAAACCCTGGATCTGCCTATGCCTCTGCTTGCTACACAATAATATAAAATATAATTTCCGTCGCTAGCTTGTCAGTTTTTGCTGACTGTGTCGTTAAACAAAATTCAACATAATATACCACACATCACTTCACGTACAAAAGAATAATTGTGGATATCCTATCTTGTGTAAACGGGACAATTATAACAGCTTTTCGTCACAGGGATCACGTTTTACACATGATTCTTATTATTGACCATAAGAGAGAAATGTTCAGAGGAGATAATGCCGGACTGCACGTTCCACTCTTGCCTATGAATACATTACATTACCACTTTCACGTGGCTGTCCAAATCGCCAAACAATAAAGCCACAGAACATTTGGGCTAGCTAGGACCCAAAGCCTTCTTCAATCATGACGATGCGGATCAGTTTTGGAGTCACGTACTGGTCTCAATAGCTACCGAGAACAAGGCCCATTTGTGAACTGACATCATCACTGCTTGAACTTTTATTGACTTATTTACAATTACTAACATGCTCACATTCAGGCCATCATTTCCATGTGAGACGTTGACTTGCCTTTACACGTGTTCGCAATGTGTGGGGCAGAAAAATCGCACCTTTTCGCAAACATCCGATGTCATCACTACTTTTCACAGTTATTCATGAACACTTGATATGGTCGCACTCGTAGAATGTACACGGATGTCACTTTTATTTCCAAGTTCTAATTTTAGCGGTTACACTGTGTGTAACACCCACGCATATTAATTAAATACATCAGGGAATGGTGTTGGCGTTTGCTGTATATTACAAGATACATGTTGAATGGAGCAATGCCTTTGATCCCGTTTGTGACGTGGGATTATAACAGTGATTGGTGATTAATGAACTGTCATAAAAATATCGAGCAATTAAATTTGGAGAATCGACATTTGATGTGGACATGGCAAACGTTGAATTACGAATTGTTGTATAAGAGCACCAATTACTGCATTTTTAAGATATCACATAATCCCCAAATCATTAACGATACATCCAACAATGGGTATATATATCCAATCAACAACATTTGTATTCTATGTTAAAATAGAAAGCATGTAAGTCTCCTAAAAGCAAGGCTTGACCAACTTACTGGTACATTAGCATCAAATAGGATATCAATATGGTCTAATCAATGTATTGATGTACGTGGGGAAACCTGGCCAGCATACATGTGTAATAATATACAAAGCAAAATGTCATCAGGTCGGTTCGGGGTAGAATAGATCTTCAGCAGCCCATGCTTGCCGTAAAAGGCGACTATGCTTGTCGTAAGAGGCAACTAACGGGATCGGATGGTCAGGCTCGCTAACATGGTATCCCAATTGCGTGGGTCAATGCTCATGATATCAGTCATATATCATGAAACACTGAACATTGAACCTTATATGTAATCCTGACACAGGACACCTCACATTTGAAGTCAGGATTTGTGTGAGTCAGTGTGTTGGGTTTAACGCCGTTTTGAACAGTATCCCAGTTATATCACGGCGTGCCAGCTAGACGTGGGCTGAAAGCCCATAGTAATGCAGGTTTCAAACGTTTATCACCTCGGTGAAACCCACAAGCACGGGTGTGGTGCTGGCAAACCTAGAAAGGTAATCGTGGCGAACCGGGATTCGATCTCACTATCATATGTTTTCAATGGACCTAACTCTGCACAGTGAATTGCTGAGCCTTAGACGACTGGGCCACCCATGGACTCAAATCAGAACAACTGTTAATGCAACGTTGCGAGGGCACCTTTTTAAAATGACGTCCAAGCTAATACTTGATTATCTGTTATTGTATGCATTGAACCAATGACCTGCATGCACAAAACATGATAATGATGTATGATGAAACTATTCCATTTTCACAATGGATGTAATGTGTGGATAGTGCTTGAATAGGATCCGAGCCCTGAAGATCCGGGGTAGAAATAGAGAATACTACACTCATTCTCGTTAGATACCATTTTTACGAAACGAGTGGACTTTCTATGGTATCTGACCGAGCGACCATTTTTACGAAACGAGTGGACTTTCTATGGTATCTGACCGAGCGAAAGCGAGGTCAGATACCATAGAAAGTCCACTCGTTTCGTAAAAATGGTATCTAACGAGAATGAGTGTGGTATTTTATTTATTACCCACGTTAAATATATATTTAAGTGTAAATACATAACAACTTTCGTTCGTTGACAGACCAAACTGAAACCGGTTGCAAAATCTGGTTGCGCATGAATATTGATATATGACCAAATATGGGCATTGTTGACATGTTTATGCATACACATTAACAACATGCGCCTGCTGTTCTGTTTGCAAACAAACCAGCACCGACGCTCAAGATCCTTTTGGAAGAAAGTCTTCAACTTATGGTAATTCAAGCGCCATGTTGTTAGTACGCAGGACACCGATAAGAAAATTTGAAATGTCACATTAGCGCCGCGCTTTGAATATCGGACCAACAGTCACACGCATCACACTGCCGGGGTCCCGTCTGTGCAATCAAAATGGTTCGGTTTCCTTGATCTATCAGATGAATTTATATCATGTCCGTACCATTTTGGAAGAGGGAAATCAGACTGTTCGCCAAAGACATTCATGTTAACTGTACCACCCTATATACCGAAGACGTGAAAATCAACAAACTCAAATCTGCTTGCATGTCAGTGACAGCTTCGAACGATCGAAGGGCAAGGTCGCCACCGGAATAAGAAAAGACAACCGCGATCCACTCACAGCGTTTTACGCTAGAGATAGGGAATGTTACTGTTCACATTTTGGGATGTTTTGGGCCACAAAATCAGAAGTCAAGCACACTTCCACAGAGTTTTCGAATGATTTGTATCGGAACTGTGAACTTTAAGTGAGCTGGTCGTGCTGTCGTGTTCGTTCATTCATGAACAACACCTCCCGAAACAGCGCCACAAAATACGCTTCAAAGGGGACACCGATGGCACAACCGGATCATCCCAAGTAAGTCTAGATATCTGTCCAGATAGTTTAAACTTCATTTCACCACGCTTATCCTTTTACGTTAAATCAAATTGAAAGTTGCGAAAATGGTCGGGTGTGTCACGCTCAAGGGACGCGCTCAATTGGCAGTCGTACATTGTAAATCGATTTATAGATCTAGCTCGATTATATGTCTGTAGGAGCTCTATGCATAACTTATATAGAATGCAAACTGAATTTGATGCGTGTGACTATCTTGTTTGGTTTAATAAAGTGTTTGTAAATATCTCTCGTTCTCATGAATTTCTTCAGTTCTGCCTTGTAATCGCAAAATGAATGACGTCTCGCGATTTTTTATGAATGAAAAAAGTAGTCCCGGTGTGACAGAGGTCACGGTTATCCAATCAAAACGAATAAAACAAGGTCAACCTTGTACGACACACGTGTGACGTACGGATTTAGTATCTTACCATCTGTATCTTCACCACGTGGGTAATAATAGGTCTTCTGCAACCCATGCTTGTCGTAAGAGGCGACTAACGGGATCGGGTGGTCAGGCTCGCCGACTTGGTTGATGCATGTCATCGTATCCCAATTGCGTGGATCGATGCACATGATGTCAATCACTGGATTGTCTGGTCCAGACTCGATTATTTACAAACCGCCTTCATATAGCTGGAATATTGCTGAGTGCGGCGTTAAACAGCAAACAAACAAACTGTTGATAGAATTTTAGATCTTCACAATCACCGGGTGTGACCATATAGACAGAATCTCGTTACGGTTTGTGATTTTTACATTTGCCCAATGACCATGGTGAGTGTTATTGGGGATACCAAAGGTGACAGTTTACTATTAGAGGAAATTGGTTGTGAGTACTTATACCATTTGGATAGGATTTAGGATTTTAATCCTTTCTTTCGCTGTGGGTAATCCTTTCACGTTGATGGAAGGAAGTCACTCAACCAGGTCATGACAATGGTTATGCGCAAGGCTCGGAATCACGAATAGATCACTAGAGGTGTTGATGCAGGCTGGACATGCAGCATACAGCATTTCCAGTGTAGGCTGGCACCTCGTCTTTGTTTCACTCGGTATGTAAAACCTTGACCATTCACAGGTGCATTTGTCTATTTACAATGAAGTTGTTTGGCGTTCCCAGTATTTATATAATATCTCACTGATTACTTGTTAACTGGTCACTGCAAGTGCCTTAATTATCTAAGTTTCAGTGAACTGAGTTTATTCACATGTTAGCTTTCAAAGGTTGTGATACATACTTGTAAAATCCTCAGTAGTAGTATAGGTAATGATGGTTCTGGCTCACTTCCACTGGAGCCAGATTCATATACCTATACCACCACTACAGGGGGAATTTTTTATGCCAAAATGACTATGCGATTCAACGATAGTCATAAGATTCAGCTAAATTGACTCTAGCTCACCACCACCTGGAGCCAATGATATAAATTTTTATAGGTAATGATGGTTCTGGCTCACTTCCACTGGAGCCAGATTCATATACCTATACTGCTACTACAGAGAGAATTTTTTATGCGTAAATGATGATGCGATTCAATGATAGTCATGAGATTAAGTTAAATTGACTCCAGCTCACCACCACCTGGAGTCTATGATATAAATTTTAATAGGTAATAGGGGTTCTGGCTCACTTCCACTGGAGCCGGATTTATATACCTATACTGCTACTATAGGTGGCATTTTTTATGCCAAAATGATGATGCGATTTAACGATAGTCATGAGATTAAGTTAAATTGGCTC